TGGCCCCCATAATTCTAAAATTGAGAACCTGAAGCTTTATCATACCCCTACAACAAAAACTCACATTTCAAGGCGTTTATGCCCAGAGCCCGTGGGCGTAGATTGCACTGTCACATTATGCAAGGCTGCCAAACACGCATGCCCTCCTAACGCCTCCCAGTCAAAATTTGCAGGCCCCGATCCAGAGTCGCGTGCCGTCCATCAAAATTCTACGAGGTCCGAATATATATCATGACTCTCATTTCTTTATGGATATTTCATATATTCCGAGTAGTTCATTAATCAAATAAATGAAATTCTCATAATATATATATATATACATATATATATATATTTATCGTATGCCTTGTCAACCGAGCCCTGAGGGGGGTCCTGCGACATGGCATGCCCGCAGATGTCGTTTGCAAGGCAGGTCTTCAGCAGGAACGTGCAAGGTCAGTTTCCTGATTCTGCTTCCTTGATGTCGCTGTTGCTTGATGTGCACTTGAGGCAGCATCGGATCGGCCGAAACCGCAGGCCTGTATTCTACGCGCTTCCTGCACCATGCGGACAATCCCAAACACATCTCTTTGAAAGCTTGAACCGAAGCCAGAGCGTGTGCAATGGTACAGGGAGAATGACGTTAACCGCTCTGCGAGCCAAGTGAACAGAATCTGCCTTCGGCAGACCTCTACTGGCCCAGTCGTACTTCGCAAGCAAAACAAACACCGTTCACATCAATTCGGGGTTGACGTGGCATCACGTAAGGCTTGCTTGGTGCTTGGCACAGTTCTGCTGCTGACTGCATGCTCCTGTTGCCTTGTGTGATCCTGATCTCTACACGTCCTGTGCCTAGGTGTGCAGCCACATCTGAGGTCCGAGCTCACTACTTCAGGTACACAAGCACCTGAAAGAGAAGAGAAGACTCGGCTACTGAGTCTGGAAAGTATTACATACGACTAAGCCCTGTGCGACCGTGATGTCATCCACCACAGCCCCGCCCTCCTCCTCGATCCATCGATCCCAGGACTTAGTGCAGACAGGAGCAGCTTCCCTGGCTTGTCTCTCTGGAGCGGGCAGCCCACCTCCTTTGCCAGAGCGTTCGCCGCCTCCATGGCCTGTGGACTCACAAGCTTAGGGCCTCGCATCCTTTGAGATCCAGTACGCTCCCCTTTGTTGAACAAACCACTGAAAAGCCATCGAATGTTTGGAGCGAAGCAGCCTATACGAGAGCTGAATCTTGGCTTGATGTGTCAAAGCTTGACTTAAGTAGTCAAGCTGTGCTGCCTGCTGGGCCCCGGGCTGACCGGCAAAGCAGTTTCCTGCGGTTTCTACTGCGCTGCTCTGAGTTGCTCGCTTCCTCCGGTCCAAAGCCACCAACGAGCTTGACGGCCTGGCGATCGGGAGATGCTATTTGCATATTAGAGTTTGGACCTCAAGCGGGGCATTCATATGGAATTTCTGAATACTTGATGGCTCTTCTTGGTCGACATCGTTTCAATTAGTCAACTCGCTGCGTCAAACCCTAATTGGTTTTCTGCTTGCATGCGTTCGGTATCGCAGCAGGACCTACCGACATGGGTAGCTGCGGGCCACAAAGTCCTGTGCTACGGTTCAAACTTTTTGATATAACCTTGTCCTTCTCCTTGCGGGACCATTTTGCCAGCTGGTGTCAGGATGTATGCTCGGGCTTCATGCCCAGCGCCAAGCTCAGAGAAGGGTCTCTCCACGAATCTCCACGTGCAGCGGCCCGCCCTGTTTTATTATGTGCTCTACATCATTCTGATTCCCTTCTGCTGGTATCCCGCTTCTCCTCAACCCTAGCAAATGCTCAACCAGCGTGAACCCCGAAATCGTTAACTCTGCAGCCCGAACCGGCGAGAGGAGGGGAACAGGATGACCCCTGAACGCTCAGCCCAGACCCCGAAGCGTAAATCCTGAGAATTTCCGCCGGAAAAGGATGTCATGCCATGAGGGGGGGTGCGATATTCACGGTTCACTGTGTAATCATAGCGTACCTTGAGTCGTAGCAGTCGCCAGTGGACATTCACATTCACGACTCAAGCAATGCTCACTTCCAGGGCAATTGATTCACCCGTAAATACTCGGGTCGCCTCGAGAGGAGCCACGAACTCCCAAACACCGTCGCTGCAAAGCAGCAGAATCTGGGGCAGTCGAGGCTTCGACAAGCTGACCATGATAAAAGCGCAGTTGGCACCTCGTCTTCAGGCTCCAGCTTCCGCTGTGAGACCTGGCAAAGGGATGCAAAGGGACCGCTCGTCTCAGCGACACGCAAGCTTTTGAGGCCGCTCGAACATCCTTTCTTCTTTTGCCTTTAACATGCTGCTTTGCATCCTGAAGCAGCTGAAACATGCCCCTGGCCTCGGGAACGGCCGAGATGCCGCAGGACTGCAGTGCGGGGCAACTTTCGCTCCGGAGGCCCAGAGACAGGTCGCGCTGTATAGTAGACTGCACTACAGAGGGACCTGGTGACCCAGAAGATCGCCAAGGCAGCGCGACATATTCAGCCTTGTTCTGACAGCTGCCTATCTCTTCCGCTGTCAGACTCAATCGGGGCCGGCACCCCGGGTGGCGGGCATTCCTGCAACAGAACTCAATGCCGAACCCTCATACTGAAGATCATCAGCATCAGCATTCAGTAAGGAGTCCTGGCATAGATCCGGTGATTGGCGTAGCCGTCGAACACCACCATGCCACCAGCCTGCAGGCCCATGATGCCCCGGAGTGTCGACAAGATCAACCAACGACGCTCCAGAGTGCCTTCTCAATGCGAGCCTTCTCGTCCTGCAACGTCGCATAACATCACAGAGGCTTAGAGACCGAAGGGGCAACAGGCCTTGAGATTGGGCTTGTGATCCCGGGTGAGCTGCTCTGCCTCGAAGTCCTCGGTACCCTGGCGAAAACAAGGAGGAGGACTGGCAGAGGTAACTTCTGCTGGGATTTCGGCCTTTCTCCGACCTAACACAGAGGAGCTGTCAGCGACATGGGCGACCTCACTTCATGCTGATCCCTAAATTGCTAAAGAGACGCATCCTGCAGTGCCGGCACGTCCGTCATACAGACATGTGAAGTGCTGAGGCGAGCACGGTGATCTCTTTGCTTTCGTGATCGTGCACAACCAGAGTGGCCGTGGTGCCCGACCTGGGAAAAGGACGAGTTTCAGCCGCTGGGCCTGGGCCTCTTTGCCTCCGCTGGGCCTCTCTGAGCTGAGCCTGTCGCAGGGAGGCATTCAGCTTGCCCATCTTGTCGGAGGCGATGATGAGGTCTTGGATCTTCTGGAAGTTCTCCTCCGGGCAACTTTCGACTGGCGGCTCCCAACCAAAGGAATCTCTCTCGTGCCTTGAGCATATCTGGCAATTGGGCTGAACCCTTGCCGAAACGCTCGTCCTGTCATGGACACAGCGATCACGCAAAGCAGACCCACCCTCGTCCTGCCGCACGGATCTCTGCAGACTGCAACAGGGCAGGAAAGCCATCAGAATCAGCTTTGGCAGGTTGTCTTTGACAAACTGCGAAACCTTGTGTCCTGTCGCGCTTGCATTCTCCTCTAAATTTCTCCAGAAGCCAGGGATAAACCCCTATAGAACAGAAGATGCACACGCTGCCAGTCGATGGCCCGGAAAAGGGCCCTGGCCTTTAGACCCGTGGCCATCAAAGACAGCATACACGGAGAAGTATTGCTCCACCTTCAGGCAGAACCAGGAGTCCTGGCAGCTCAGCATCTGGTCCAAAGCTCTTTGAGGCCCAAAGCGGGCAGAGGCAGGTACCTGATTTGGACTCTCTGGCTTCAGGCCTTTGCGGCCTGGGCACGTCGTGACTTGTGTCAAAAGCAGGAAAATCAGAATTCTTCCCTTGCAGCCGTCGCCGTAGCCTTCTTTTCCGCTCTCATGTCATTTTCGTCCAGTCCGAAAAAATGGCAGAAGTTTCTGCTGGCCGCCTCGAGCACTTCCAGCGTCCTCAGCCCCTTTGCGACCGCCAAGGTATGGGCAACCTGGGGCGAGTGCGCGCGGGAGTGCTCGAGGCGCAAAGTCACGAGTTGAGCCAAACGCCCTCAACTTTTCAAAGCGTGGCCACTGTGAGCCACAGGCGTCTCTCGGCGCTAAGGCTCAGGCCCACGGGACGTGACCCGGGTGCGAGTCTTGGCCACGGTAGGGTGCAGGTGCCATGTACGGCCCGTCGGTCTCCAAGAGCAGGCGGTCAACCGGCAGTACTTTGGCCAGTTCGCGAAGGCCTGACGCAGCATAGAGCAACCACCCTTCCATCCATTCCGTTCTCTCCTTTCCGCCGCCTCCATCCTTCCAGGACCAAGCCCACGTCAGGGCGCCAGGCACACTGACATATGTGTTGGGGCGCCTCGGCTGTGAGCAAAGACGCCTAATTCATTGGGACCGTGGTAACATGTGGGAACGATGGCGCTCACAATATAACGGATAATCTTCATAACACCGACCTGAAGAGTCAGTCTTAGAAGACTCCACACATCTCCGCATTGCATCAACACTCAAAACCAAAGGACAAGGCTCTCTGCAAGGAAGGAAAGAAGCATGGACGGGGAGCCCATGAAGGAGTGGAGCTGAACGTAATGCTCGCGGGGAACCTCAGCGAACTGCATCGGTACAGCACGAGCATCAGAGAAACAAAACTGACTCGGCCACCCACGTATGCATCAAGGATATGGAACACTTCCTCCTCTGCATCCCTGGAATGAACCACCTCGAGACGGCAGCTCAGATCAGGATTCCGGGCACGAGGCGCATTTCGGATCCCCTTCAGCCAAGCCCGGTACCAGAGGAATCCCACGCTTCAGGGCAACGTGTATCTGATCGATGAAAACCTGCCGGGCTCACAAAAGGCCCATCACAGCACACACGTGAGTAACACCCATCTCGAATCTCAACCATTTGCTGAAGATGATGTTTGCCAAAACCCTTTCATAGCCATGCCTGACTGCCTCTGGCCTCGACTGTGGAGACCGTTTCGCCACGACTGCCTGCCGCATCTGCTGCCGCAGCTCTGGTGCCGCCTCCAACTCATCAGCCCTGACAAATGGAACCGGCAGCGCGAAAGCACGTTTCAAACGTGGCAAGAGATGGTTTTCGGAGTGTATCACCCTCCCTCCCCCCGGCAATCGCGAGAGCACAAGCACGGTTGCCTCTTGTTGAAGTCCAGCCCGCACTCGCCCCAGCCGACGCCCTGCGCTCCGCACGCGTCGAGGGCCGCCTCGAGCCGGGCCTGCACCTCCAGCGAGGAAAAACGGAGCAAGAATACCCTCCTGAAGCGCCTCATTTTCTTACCTCTGCCAACACCTGCAAGAGCCGATGCACAGCCCGAAGTCTAAGGGGCACGGAAGATCAGTCTTGCTCTTCCTCCAACCCAAACGAAGCGCTCCCGACCCACGCTGCAACAACCTCCACGTGCCCCGAGCTCGGTGGTACCAAACATCTCCAACACTCGAGAGAGAATGTAAAGAGCTTTGGGAGCAAAGTATAGATGAGGTCAGATCGGGAGCCCCTTGCAAAATGTGAGTTCGCTTGCATGTGGCAAAGACTTCATCGAGGTAAAGGAGCGCACCTCGCTGTCCCCCGAAGAAGTCAGCATCCAAGAGTACAAAAACCCTTTCGAAGCCAAACTTCCTAGTCTCTGAAATAGTTGCTTACCTATCAGCGATAAGCACCACCCAAGTCGAAGAAGTGCTTCCTAAAGCACGACAGAATGCAGCTCTTGAAGTGTGGGTGTGTGTGTGTGTGCATGCACCTTTGATGTGTAGGCTTCGAAGTCATTCGGATGGATGCCAAAAGTGGCATAGATCCGTCCTTCCATCATCTCTCGGCCCCACTTCACAAGCTGCAGCGTGTCCTGTGGCAACGAGCTTGTCGCCTGTCACCACTGCTCCACTCAGAACGCGGGTCTGGATAGTCTGAAGCACAAATGCCATTCTTCATTGCTTGCTACGGCTGCTTCGGGCTGTCCTCGATGACCTCTGCACCGCAGCAACTTTGAACGATGCCGACAATTCTGGCACCTGCAGCCAAAACAGCAATTGAAAGCAGTGCGCTCGTCTGGTGATCAGCCAGGGGCTGTTGGCTAAATGCTAGCACGCATAGAGAACTTGCACAACTTGTGCACTTCTGTCCGCAGTGGTGGTGGCGGTGCACACCAGCTAATTAAAAGCATAAGACACAATAAAGCACCTGGTAGCTTCGCAACCTCGTCTCTGAGAGATTCAAGGTCTCCGGCACGCAGCGCAGGGACGGAGCGAAGCTTCTCACCCTCATGTGCGAAGTGGCAGCGCTTCTGCTTGCAGTTCGGGAGGAAACCTGGATTCTGCTCACAAACTCATCCCATCGCCACAGGAACATGGGCAGTCCCTGCCGATGGCTGAGGCATCATCTGCATCGCAAAGATTTCGCGTACCACGCGAAGCCGAATCTCCTGATCAGACTCTTTAGTGTCTCCACTCGTTTGTCAGCCCTGAGAGCAAGGTGGCTGCCCAGATGCAGAGGATAAGCCCAAATATAGAGGCCATAGAAGTGTTAACTCTTGTCTGAACTGTCGGCAGAAAGCAGCGAGAGCCCAAATCCATGTGTGCGAAAGCAATCCAGAGAACTAAGGGGATACACCCTTGTCTGAATGCATTCCATGCCCCTGCCTCGTTCGCAGCACCTCATCCAAATGGATGTGTGCGTCGGTGATTGGAAGGTCTCGAGCCGTGCCCTGTCCCATCACACGCAAACTCGATCAGCACTCCTTTGAACACACATCCAACGGCCTTCTCGTCAGGCTCGCTGCTAAAGTACCGAAGCTCCACGGCACCTCACTCCAGCCGGAGGGTAACACCGCGCAAGAAACCGGATTGAACGTATGACCCTCGCCTGCAGGCTGTATGGGCACCATCATGTAGCCGTCCACAAGCGCAGGCACGCCATCCGCGAGAACCAGCTCCTGCACCTTCACCTCCGATATGCACTCTGTTTTGTTGGAAGCGGAAGCAGCATCTGTTTCCCGTTTCCCCCTCAGCCAGCGACATGGCCAATGATCACCCATTCGGAAGGGGACCGCCACACCTGGCGCAGCTGCACCCCAAATACAAAAAAAAACACATTTGATGATGGGGTGGTCCAGGCGGCCGATCGCCTCGGAAGCATCCGTCGCGCTGAGACCGGAGCTGATGCAGCGAAGCCGCGTCCTGGCGAAGCCCAGAGCCATCGAAGCTTCAGCCGCCTACCCGAAACCCCGAAAATTGGCATCCTGTAATCGTTCCAACCCGGCTCTGTCCCCTGTTTGATGCCATCCAATGGCGGCAGGCAGAGTGGTCGTCGTCGCAGCTCAGATGGGCCGTGCGCCTGAGGAACACGGTCGTTCACTGCAAACAAAGGCTGTCTTTTGTAGCTCTGCTTACAGGGGGAAATCACAAGCATAAAGCACAAGGCACATCCCAGCAGAAGGAGCTCGTGAACGGACACTCCAGGCCTCAAAAGACTGTTTGCGATAATGGCGTCTTTGATCTCCTTCCTACTTGTAGCAGAGGTTGTGCGGCCGGATCTACGCGGGCCTGGCAGCATGAAGAGCGAGCACAGATTCTTCTTGTGATAGCCGGCATCTGCCGCAGCGCTGCAGCAATCCTGAGCTGCACTGCTTTTGAGTTGCGCTGCTTGGCACCTTCAGATAAGGGCGCGGCCTTGGCCTCGCTTGGCATATGCTTGAAGCTGCATGAGTCGCCGTAGATGCAGCAGCCCCTCGTGCAAGCAGCAGCTGCAGTCCCACAACCCAGCGTGTTCCGGGTTTAGCAGACAGGCATCGAACCCGACCTGTCGAAGAAGTAGCAACGCTTCTTCCTGAACGACTCCTCGGCACTGTGCAGATACAGAGTGAAGACACCACTAGCATCACTAGCATGACAAAAGGGCTTGCAGGAAGAGACGCCTCGCCAACATATCCGCCGTAGTTGCCTTGCAACTTGGACACTCCGACAATGGACGGGGCAGTTTGACCTTCTGCCCGCCCCGAGATCAAGACGATTTCGGGAGGTGCAGCTAAGCTGCAGAAGCGCCGCTTGGAACTGCTCGCATCCCTGCGAAGCCTTGGAGACGAGGGTTCCGGTGGCGGCTCCGGTGGCTCCGGCTGAGCCATGAAACCATGGCTCCGATCCCCCCCCCAGTTTAGCGTCTCGGGCTCTAAGGTTGAGTCTGGTTTCTGAGAGGTTTCGCTTGACTTAGCAGGGTCACCTACCTACCGAATTGAAAGCCTAGCTCCTTTGTGTGCTTTTGAAGCACTTGCAGCTGGGTCCTGCCCATGAGCCTGGCCTTCACTCAAAGTAATTCAAGGGCACACTCTGGCTGCACGGGCAGACCGGGCACAGCAACCGGCTAAAAGCCTGAATGTCGGAGACGGCCGAGGCCACTGCAGGTGTATCCTAAATGTGCGGCGGCCTCGGTGCAGCGATGCTAAAATGGAACTGACTCTGACAAGTCGTCTCGGGACTCGCGCCGGCTCAATGGCATCCCCCAACTGCTGGATGGCCTTGTTCGCAAAGGCTTCCTTCCTGGCATTCCGACAGCGCCATGCATCAACAATCCTGCACAACTTACAGTAGGATGCAGCCTGCGGCGAATGGACAGTTTAAACTTTACACAGCCTTGCTGCTGTCATTAAGCTGTGCAAAAATGCCATCCAGCGCAGCGATTTAATCAGAAAACACTCTGCCTCAACAGTGTCGTGTAAAGTGCCAGGAAGGCCCAGCATCTAAGGCAGTGCCTGAAGTCAGCATCTGTCAGTTTTTCTGTTACAGCGTAGCATATCGGAGCCAGACATTGCACAGGACACGGACGCGCCTATGCTCATCCTGCGGCCGGCTTTGATATTTTTCCCCTCCAGCCTTCATTGATATCCCCGATTTGCGGCGGAAAGACGCACCATGCCCAGCGTGTCAGTTCAAGGCGCAGGCAACTGGAGCACCGTCTCGTTGTCCAGTGCGGAGAGGAGGCCCCGGTCCTGACGAGAAAGAAGGCTCCGCCTGCCGTTACGCAGGAACCAGAAGATTCAAATGATACACCACCCGGAGGGTTTCCGCGGTGTTTGGTGGGCGTGAAAGACACTTCTGAGCAACGGCGGTCCTCTTCTCTGACGTCCTGAGTTCGGTTTCAGCACCCACTAGCTGGACAGTATCAACAACCCGATGCTACCACAGGGTGGTGTAGATGCTTATACATGTATGCAGCATGCAGAACAAACATATATCATACATCATAGATCACATGTAGCAGCAGTTGCAGTAGTAGCAGTAGAAGAAGCAGTAGTAGCAGTAGAAGAAGCAGTAGTAGCAGTAGCAGTAGCGCCGGTAGTAGTGGTAGCAGCAGCCGCTGCAGCAGTAGCAGCAGCAGCAGTGGCAGCGCAACAAGAGGAAGAGAAAGAGCAGGAGCACAAGTAGGAGGAGTAACGGTCAGACATCCTGGATAGACAAAGAAACGCTTGTCATGGCAGTCAATCCAGCAGCAGGTTTGACTCGGTACTATTATGTTGCATGTCCAGGGGCGATCTCTTCTGCAGCCTCCTCATTCTCCACAATACCGACGGAGAGTCGACGGCGCTCTGCGGGAACCTCGCCGTGCCAGCACATCCCATCTTCGGACGGCAGGCCGAAGAGTATGACAACAGCACCACAACTTCAGGTGGCCTCAACTTTCTGCTTGCCACTCGAGCCAGAACATCCCATAGAGATCGGCTCCTTGGCGGTCAGGGCTTGGCGGTTGGAGGCAGTGTTGAAGCACACAGAGAAGCAGAGACAAAGACAGAGACAGAGAGAGACCGAGACACGCCGAGAGAGAGCGAGAGAGAGCAATCGAGACCGAGAGAGGAGAGTGGCAAGGAGGGCGAGAGGCAGAGACACAAAGAAATATGGAGAGAGATGAAGAGAGAGACAGACAGAGAGGCAGAGGCGGGGGCAGAGACTTTTGCCAAGCTGTCCCTGCCTCCCCGGCTCTTCCAATCCAAACCTCTACGGCCGCAGAACGTGGCCATGAGAAAAAATTGACTGCGGAAGAAGGGCAGCGAGATACCATGGAATCTCTCAGTTTCTCACGGCAAGGACTTAGGAATGCGAGGCGCTACCTCAAAGTCGTGTCCGCTTTTGTGCAGGCGCTTTTCGAAGCGATTGCTGCTTGCTGTTGCCAGGTATTGGATATCATCACGCTCCAAACATGTCGCCCCTGGCGACGGAGTGTGGTTCACTTTCCAAACTTGACACCCGCGAGCTGCTTTCTGCATTTCTGACCGTATGCGCGGAGAAGACCAGCTGCAAACAACAACAGATGTCGATGGTCGGTTGAAGCAAAAACGTCATCTTCTTGACACTCCCCACACACTAGCTTGTGCAACTAACGGTCTTCCCGATCGCACCCAGAGTCTTCGGGAATGACTTCCCATGCTTCGGGCGGAACTGAAGCTCACAATCGGTTACAGATCCTCTGGCGTCGGCGCTGTGCGCTCAAAACCTCTCAACAGTGCGAGCACAACATCTGCAAATGTTATCGCTGGGAGCGTCAGCGTCATCTCCAAGGGGAAACGGGACCGGACGCGGAAAAGCTGCATGTCCCTCGGCCTCTGTCTTTCATGAGCTGATGAAGCTCCGCAGTCTTCATGGACTGCAGATCCACTCTTTCGACCTGACAGGATATGCTCGGGCCCGAAAGGACTGTAAGATAGACATCGGACGCACTCCTCGTCGTCACCGGCAAAGCACACGAGCTCTGGCTTGGCACCAGGGATAAAGTTTACGGTCAAGTCTTTGAAGCCTGGCCAGATATGCGTGCTCAACGCTGCCGCCATTCATCTCGCAGGTGAAAGACATGGCGCAAGCACCATCTGCGTGGCCTGGACCTTTGACAAATCTTTTCACCTCGACGCAGGTTTGCATGTAGCAAGGCTGCCGATAAGCACTGCCTGAATCAGCGGTGCAAACCTGATACCATGTAAAGTGCTTGCGATACATTCCAATGGCATGGGCCTCAGGAAGCTTGTTCAGTTTTCAGCCGCTGCAGGTCTGGATCTCACAACGCTGATCCTATGCACGGTCTGCATGTGTATGCAGAGATGCTGCCCGCTTATTGGCTGAAGAGACGCTGTGTGAAGGCCCCTACACGAAGCACACCACGCAAATGCCGGCCTATGGCTTATGCAGGCTTACCGACATCCGCTGTTCATGGGCGACGGCTCAATGGTACACAAAGCCCGATGTCCTGTGCAGCAGCGTGTTCGAGAAGCCATGCCTCAACAGAAGCAATGCTTCGAGGAGACAGAAACATGCACAAATGCACAAGCAGAACGGAGATCGGGTCACGGCAGCTATCAGTACCCGGAGAGTTTTCAACCTTGGATCTGCGAGCAGCTGGCCGAAGGGCCGAAGGAAACCCTGTCCCAAGCTGAGCTCTGCACGTCATGGTGACCTCAAAGGAAACCGCTACAACATGTAACGACAGCCTGCTACTGGCACCAAGGCTGAGAATGGCGCGAGCTACTGTCCGTCCGCTAAGTCTTAACGGTGGAAGATTCAGCTGCTTTAAGTGCTGTTCACAATGGCCGACATCGTGTCATGCGTTGCCATGTGAGTGAATGCACTTGCCTGGGCATGGCATAAGTCTCGTCTCGCACACATGTTTCTGTCAATCCGAAACCTGCGGACCGCCCGAACAGACCGATGCGGTGGAAGCGTCGAAAAATGCGCACTTGATATCACTTGTGTCTAAACGGCGCCGGTCCGTGCAGAGTGTCTGACAGCAGCCTTGCTTGACGCGGGAATGTCACGGCTTTGGTTCGTGAAACAATGCCAGCCTCTGCAGCCAAAGCTTGGCTGGAAAATGAAAGGGTCAAATGCCAAGCACTGAGCCACAGGGGCAGTTAAGGGCGTGCTGGAGGCAACTCACAACCGCACGCCGCTCACAACCGCGCCGCACGCCGCGCGCGTCGCGCGCGTGTCACTCCTCTTTCTTGGCCCTGTCCTGTCCGAGAACCTGCGCTGCGGGCTCGGAGCGAGCGGAGCAATGACTCTCAAAGCTGCTCTCGTTGCTTCGTTGTCTCGAGACCTCGAAGATGTGCTTCCAATCTTGCGCGAGGTCCTGCCGGCTTGCGCAGCTGAGGCAGGCTTGCTTGGAGCAACTTGCTCAGCATCCCGATGGTTCGGTTCCCTGGCCTGGAACCAGCCCTCCCAAGTGCGATCCGGAGGTGCGGGCGCCTGGGATTGATGGGATTGGTCCGAACACGTGCACGCGATGCATCTTGGCGACCCGGCACGACGCTTCTTGATCAGATCGTAGGCCTGCGAGGTGTGACGGGTTCTTACACTGCTGCTTCCGGCACCGATCTTGAAGAGATTTAGTTCACATACATACGGACACATGAGAATAGCAGAGCTGTCAATTCGAAACGTTTCTTCTGGCGTCAGCTAGCCCCGGCTTTGGTTATCTCGGACATCTTGTCGTCGCACTCTTTGCCGCACCTTGCGCAATCAATAGCACAGGATTTTCTCTATTGAAATCTCGTCTCCCGAGGCAAGCACCCGGGATTCCGGTCTGGATGCCACTGCAAGCTTTTGCTTCGGTATGCTGCCTTTGCCTGTCCGAGCAGAGGGAGTCGGAGGAACAAGGACCCGCCTAACCCTGAGGCCGAAGGCAAATCGAGGAGGATCCTCTGCCTCTTGCAAGGATGCAGATTTCGAGATCTCCAGGAGCTCGTAGGGGTTGACCTGAAGCACACCCCCTCAAAACATCCGTTTTCTGAACTGCTGCATTATCCACCTGCGTCTGTGCTGCAATTCGGTCGATGTCAACAACCTGTGCAGGATCGTCTTCGTATTTTGCGCACGTGCGCCCGGGCAATGCCCAGGGTGGCACCGATGGCCTGCAAGTGATGCAAAACGGTGGGGATGTAGACCTCGACTCGTGTGCAGGAGGGAGGTGAGAATTCAGAAGGGGTGCGTCTCGCTTCATCAAGAAGGTTGGAGGGGTCTCACGCACCCTGAATTTTACCCGAATGTGGGGATTTCCTTCGCTGTTATGCTCAAGCTTCATCACAAACATGTTCCATGCGTGTCCAAAAACACTGAGTGGAGCACCACAGCCCCCAGCCCAAGGAGCATCAGGCCCACGAAGCACCTCGGTGCAGTGATGCACCTCTAGGAATACCGGACAATCGGACAAGGCTCGAGGTCTGCACAGAGGCAGCCGGCAGAGGAGCTTTTTTCGGCTGTCATCATAAGGGGCATCAGGAGCACACCGCCTAAGACCAGGGATACTCAAGCACCGCTGTCCTGGAGCCTCTGAGCATGCCACTGGCTATTGAAGCCACGAACGTAGAATCGCATCAAGAAGCCGTCCAAGACCCAGCCTCCATCGGATCATGGGAGACGAAGCAGCGAAGCAAGTGAGGCAATCAAGAATCGGGACCGACTCCAACGAAGTTCAAGGTCCAGAAGGCAACCATCCTTGAAAGTGCAGCATGGCCATCGCACAAACACGTTAGCACGTTCACTGCTGTAGTCGGAAGTGCTCCTGAGACGGAGGCGCATGCGACAGCCGGTCCAAGTACAGGTGGTGCGCAGGGAAGAACGGATTCAGCCACAGCAGGTAGCTGCACGGGAGCCAGCATGCAGCACGTAATTAGGTAGCGTGTCTGACTCTCGCACAACATGAACAGGGAGTCCTTGTCAAAAGCCGCTTCTGCTTCTGCATAGAAGTCGACGCTGCCTTCACGCTTGAGCACCCCAGACGCAGCTGGCAAACACAGTCTTCAAGGAATCTCCTCGCTGAGATGCATCATGAACATTTGTGAAAGCTGAAACCCGCTCGTACAAACCTATGCGACCTCTCATGCTACCTGTTGAAAAGTCAGGACAACTTCTTCTTGATGCAAGGGTCAACATGATTCGGGGATTTGGCAGGCTACGTGCCTCTATCTGCTGGTGGTCTGTCGCAGGACCCGTCGGCACGGATTTGGAACAACAACCTGAACGAACACTCTGGAGCATTCATCAATACACCGTGTGACTCCGAAAACTGAAGCAAGGGCATAACCGGCAGATCACGATGATGCTGACAACATGTATAGTTCCGACCTCAACACTTCCACGAACACGGGATCGAACATGTCGCAACATTCGTCCACTCACTGGGATCACTACGACCTCTGCGATGCAAACATGCTACTGCAAGCCAAGACAAAGCTCAAGCAACTGAGGCATGTTGCTAAAATCTGCTGCACGTCCCAATCATCGTCGAGACCCAAGTCCTCTTGCAGGGCGGCGATTGCCAGACTAGCAATGCCATGCTGCTTCACATGGGACCTGGAAGATTTCCTCGGTGAAATCATCCATTTCGCTGGCATGGAAGGCCACCCTTCCGGCCACTCATGTTAGAAAAGGTCCACACCAGGCATAGGCTTATGTAGTGTTCACGACTGCGCGGCAACGCTGGTCGCAAAAAGTGAAACACACATCATGTCATGCCCTTGTTGGGGAAGAAAGTTGTGAGACATCATGAATCGTATCCTCTTCGCTCGGTATGACTACAACGGTGACTACAAGCCGCAACACGATGCTTCTCGATGGTACATTTCCATCACGGTAGATCATGTTTTGAGCCTACGTCGCAAAAAGAGTCGGCGGCATGTACACATGCAAAATGTTGAGCTAACTCTTCCTCTGCAGCCCGACGCCTGGCTCCCCCGGGCATCGACGACTGACCAACCCTGCCCAACCATTGTTGTCACTTCACCCGGGCCCGCGTTTCCCATTGGCAACGAGTGCGATTGCTAGATTTGATGTTCGTAGGAACAAAAAGAAACGGAACGCTGAGAAACAGAACAAGATGGAGAGATGGAGGGTGCGAGAGAGAGAGAGAAAGAGACAAACAGACAGAGAGAGAGAAACACGGGCGATCTTATGGGCACTCGGACTGTTGGGAAGCCAACAAAAGGCAAAACACTTGTGAATTGCACATGTCAATCCCGCGTGTATTCAACAACAATGTGTGCAGTAACACAGCAGGTAAACTCCGGCTCGTACGTACTTATGCAAACGATGCATGTACGGACTTTGAGCGACAATTGGAGTCCAAAAGCAAAAGAAGGAAACCCTACGGTCCACGCAGCTTCTTTTCCTCGTTGCTATGCAACGAAATAGCTTCTGTTCGGATCAAAACGAATGGCAGCGCAGCAACTTAACCTAAACCTCAAAATCGAATGTTGATGTTTTGACAAGTGTACGAACTATTAAGAAATTTGGCTGCATAAAAGTACTGGGCACAAGCAAACTCTAAAGCAATGAAGAAGCCTTTTTGAACATAAAGACGGCTACGGAAGGAAACATCTCCAAACACTGCTGTTCGTCAAAAAAGGACTCAAGACAACACTCTCAACTTTTCCTGTCGTGCACACAGGAAAAAGGGCTGCATATGACACAAATATCTGTCGCAGAGACGCGTTGCATCACCCAACGCGAAGCACGCAAACTTCATGTTATGAAACAAAAGTTGAAAGCGAAATTTTTTTTGGCGTGGGCGGGCCTCGTCGACTACAGCTGTAGCACTCGGTTCCAGTAAGAAGTAAATGTAAACAAGAAGAAAATGAAGCACTGTACAGAAAGATCCTAATTGGTGAATCTGGTCGCAACTTGCAGACTTAGCCAGCAGGGATTGTTCGACCTTCTAGATGTAGCGTCTCTCAGTTGGCCTTCTCCGGAGCGGCAACCAGCTGCACAGAAGCATCAGCATTCTTGATTATATCCGGGCGGAATGGAGAAAAGCCACGCGCACCGGCTCCATCCAAGGCGCCATACTGGAGAATCCCAGTTTTCCAACA